CGGTAGTGACGTTGGCCCAGGATTGGACATTGTTTCGTTCTGCTGTGCATAGGGTCGCTATGAGTCGGTTCCAACTTGATGGCACCTGACAACAACAACAACAACCAATTTCTGCAGTCTAAAATTGATCAACCATGTAGTCAAGATGCATTGGTAATTACTGATGATTGATTGGAATGCAAAAGTTAGAAACAAAGAGAAAAGATCAGCACCTGAAAAATATGCCCCTGGTGATAGAAATGACAGTTGAAATCGCATGATTGAATTCTGTAAACCAACTTGTTGCAAATACCATTTTTCAGCAACAGCAACTATACACATTACCTCACCAGAAGGAGTACACAGGAGTAAAGTTGACTACATATTTGGGAAGAGATGATGGAGTAGCTCAGTATCATCAGCCAAAACAAGGCCAGGGGTTGACAGTGGGTCTCCTTTCTTTGAAATGGGCACAAATACAAATCTCTTCCAATCAGTTGTAAACCAGGTAAGTTGTCTTCCAAATACCTTGACATAGATGAGTAAGCACCTCCAGTGTTGAAAGATTTCAATTTGTATTCCATCAATTCCTGGAACCTTGTGCTTTGCCAATTCCTTCAGTGCACCGTGGATTTCTTTTATTTAGTATCCTTGGCTCTTGATCATATTACGCCTCTTGAAATGGTTCAACATAGACTGTTTCTTTTTGGTACAGTGGTTCTATATATTCCTTCCATCTTCTTTCTGTATCATTCAGTAGGGAATCCTTCAGTATTTCAAGTTGAGGCTTGAATTTTTTCTTCTGTTTCCTCAGCTTGAAAAATGCTGAGTGTGTTCATCCCTTTTTGTCATCTAACTCTAGGTCTTTGCACATTTCATTGTAATATTTGACATTGTCTTTTTGAACTTAGAAATTTTCTGTTTAGTTCTTTTAACTCTTCATTTCTTTCATTTGCATTTTAGTATGGTGTGGCTCTGTGGGTTAATGCGCCAGACTGCAAAGCTGTTTGAACTGCAAGGTCGGCAGTTCAAGTTCACTAGCTGCTCCTTGGAAACCCTATACAGGGTTGCTGTGGGTCAGAATTGACTCGACAGCACTTTGCAACAACAACATGCTGGAGATAAAGTTTCGAAGTCTCTTCTGATATCCATGTTGGTCTTTTCCTTCTTGCCTTTATTTTTTTTATGTTTTATTGTGAATTATGTGATAGTTTACATGGGAGAACATTAGCTTTACATGGTTACAGTCCCTTCCATGCATCATGAACTAACCACAGGGTAAGGTGTAAGCCTGCCTCCCTCCCCCACACAGCCCCTTTCCCTCTCTGGGTCTAGAGTTCCCAGATGCTCCATCTCTCCACCTTGTCTCTGCCTCCATCTCTGGCATCACTGTTCCTCTGGGTAGGGTCCCGCACTCTGCTCTTCTCCCTTGATGTTTTTTTGTCATCTTAATGACATTTTTTAAAAAAACTTTTTATTTTGAATTGAGTGAAGGTTTTACATTGAAAAGAATCATATAGTTTGCTTGATTACAAGGTTACAATTCCCTCCATGTACCAACAATTAACAGCATTTGACTTTATTCACTGGAACTCTTGCTTTCCTTCCTTTGTTTCCTACTACCTTCATCTTTACCCTGCTAACCTCCCCTTGTATATTGCCTTCCTTGTTGCTCAAAGTTTCTCTCCCCTTCCCCCTGTAACCATCATAGAAGGTTTCATTTATCAAGAAAATTTTTTCTTGTAACTTTTTACAACATTGGTCTCATACGATGTTTGTCTTTTGTAATTGACTCATTTCACTCTTCCAGGTTTGACCTTGTTGTGAGGCTTTTCACAGATTGATCATTATTCTGCAAAGTTTTGTAGTATTCCATTGTGTATATATACCAAAGTTTGTTTAACCAGTCTTCTGTTGGTGGACAGTTAGGCTGCCTCCATCTTTTTGATATTTCTCTTATAGACAGTATATTGAAGAATCCTGTTTTCTATCCATTTGGGTCTTTACCTCTTCTCTGGTAGCGTAGTGGTTACAAGTCAGGCTGCTAACCTCAAGGTCAGCTGTTCGAAACTACTAGCCGTTCTGCAGGCTAAAGATGAGGATTTCTGCTCCTGTAAAGATTTACAGCCTCGGAAACCCTATGCAGGGTTGCTGTGAGTTGGAACCAACTCTGTGGCACACAGCCAGTATATGTAATCCATTCAGTGTAATTATCAGTAGGTATGAATTGATTGCACTCATTTTTCTGTGTGTTTTATTGTGTTCCTGCTGGATTTTTTGTTCCACATGAATTTGTACACTGGGTCCTTTTTTTGTGTGGGCTTTCTTGTCATTTTCCTTTCTGCCATGTAAATGTTTACTAAATCTAATCCATTGGGTTTTCTTTTAAGTTGTCCTTATGATAGTGCCACATTGTTTTCATCACTGTAGCTTTGGTAGTAAGTTTTGAAAATGGAAAGGGTGAGTCAAGTTTGCTCTTTGTTTTCAATTTCATTTTAGCTGTTTGGGATGATTAAAAACGTATTTAACAGCTTTGCACTCCTGCTTCTCTCTAAGCCATTTATCTTGGTGGTTGCTTGATGAGCCCTTCAATACCAAGTTGTAGACATCCTGAATGTTCCCCCAGATCCTTTCCATGTGTCTGTAAGAACAAGGACATTCTCTTTCAGAACCACATCCAAGTAATTTAAATTTCCTCATATACAGTTGAGATTCAGATTTTTCCAGTTGCCCAATGGGCGATATTGTTTATTTTATAATCCAATCTATCATATGGATGAAAGCTAACTACCCAGAGTGGTTTTAGTTATAAGTGCAAAAGCTATCTAGGGCTTTCTCTAGTATCTGTTGGTCCAGTTAATCTGGCTTTTTTTTTAAAGGAGTTTGAGTTTTGTTCTACTTTTTCCTTGCTATCTAGTTCCTTCTGAAGTCCTGATATGACACTGTAGGATAAGCACTGAACTGCTAACCTCAAGGTTGGCAGTGCAAACCTCCCAGTTGCTCCTCAGAAACCCTAAAATTTTTTTGTTGAAATACTGATTTTAGTAATGAAAGGTATTTTGAATGAAGTGCAAAAATTTGGGGGGGCGGGCGCAATAAGGATTTTGATAGAATTGCTGTTGTTAAGTGTCGTCAAGTTGGTTCCAACTTACAGCAACACTGTATAGGTTTCGAAGGCTGCTTCCTGCGAGAACAGAAAGCATCATCTTTCTCCAGTAGAGCACCTGGTAGGCTCAAACTGCCGCCCTTGTGGTTTACAATCCAGTGTTCATCCTACAGAGTCACCATGGAAAGGGGTTGTTAGTGCTGGAGTTGGAGGGATGAGACCTGTTTATTCATATTTGTATATTTACAGAAGCCCCCACTAATAGTGGGATAGTGTCTTCCCACTTTACGGGAAATGATCTGTGCGCACTGTATGCTCCATGGGCCACTGAAGGGTTAAACCAGGCTCCAGTCCGGGAGCACACTTTGTAATTGATGGCTAACTCTTATTTGTCTAGTCTCTAATATAACTGCCAGCACTTTTCGGTCTCTCCTGATAATTGGCAGTTTTGCAGACCAGGCTAGCTGTCTTGCAGATTGTCCCACAATCTCGAGTTGTTTGTTGTCACCTGTGACTGTGCATGGTTCTGATTTCTATGCATCGGGTGGCACATATCATGTTGATTTGCCCTATGTGGCCAGCATGAGGTGTGTGGGTGGGTGACTGATGATAATGCTAGTAGAGACCACACTGATGGAGTGCATCCTGTAGGCCAGGCTGTCTGGGCAGCATGTGTAAGAGTAAGTACCAGACTCCTGGTGGCACACTGGTTAAGTGCTTTACTGCTCACTGAAAGGTAGACAGTTGGAACCCACCAGCCTCTCTACATCTTTCCATGGGAGCTGTTTCCATAGAGGTGACAGTCTTGGAAACCCTATGGGACAGTTTTACTTTGTTCTACAGGGTTGCTGTGCGTTGGAATCGACTTGCCAGGCCATGGGATCCTTGTCCCACCATCACCTCCTCTTAGCACATGAGAAAACTGAGGCTCAGAGAGGCTAAGTCACTTGGCCACATTGCACACTGAGTGCGAGGCGTGGATGGAACCTGGACGTAGGCAGTGGTCACCCCCCTCACCATACCATGGAAATGCATGCATGGAAAGGCTCAGTTAAAGCAGAGGCACCCACCCCTGGAAGTCTTTCTTGACACACTGCCTTGGTGACAGCTACAAACTACCATGTGACACAGTGGGATTGTTGAATGACTTTCTCAGCTCAGCCTGGGCTCCCTGCCAGGTGTCCAGAGCCCCTCTGATCCCACTGTGATTGCCCTTTTCTTGCCTGTGTCTCCCTGGGGACCAGGAGGTGTTCCCTGAAGGTGCATCTGGCAGAGGTGCCACACTGACGGCAGGTTAAGAGGGGCCAGGTAGGGTCTGGCAGGGATAGTAAGGGGGAGGGAGCAAGGGGACACAGCCTCTACAAATGCAGCCCCAGGGCCCTAGGGTCCCGCCAGCTGATACCAGCTCCTTTTCTCTCTCGTAGATGAAGATGTGTGTGTGTTTAAGTGCTCGGTGTCCCGAGAGACGGAGTGCAGCCGTGTGGGCAAGCAGTCCTTCATCATCACCCTGGGTTGCAATAGCGTCCTCATCCAGTTCGCCACGCCCAACGGTACGTCCCTTCTGCCCGGAGCCGCAGGGGGTGCTGGGACTTGGTTTCCATGGAGAAGTAGACCAGCACTCAGAATCCATTTCTGCTGTCTGAGATGCTTCCTGACCACCCAGGCCTCCTGGGGGATATGGGAAGTTGGGATGAGGATTCTTGGAGTGCAGAGGCCAGCTGACCCCTCTGGGTGGCATGCAGGGACCCACAAGATGCCTCTGGTGTGCTTGTTAGGCAGGGTCATGTGCAGCTCGTGGAGGTAGGTGGTAGCCTGGGAGGTGGGTGTTGGTGGGGGTGTGGGGCAGGGTTAGGTGGTCTGGAATGGAAAAAAACAAGCAAAGATTGTGCTTGCTGGAAAATGGCTTGAGTCTCTTTGTGGTTACAGGGGTGAGCCCATGGGGATGTCTTCCAGGGTCCAGACTAGTCCTGCAGGCTGCTCGGTGGCATCATCATTGACAGGCCAGCCCAGCAGGCTACTGTGGTGTGGCTTCACTATGCTTTATTTATTGTTGAAAAAAAAATAGGTAGAAATACAACCCTCAGAGATAACCATTAACATTTGGAGGTGTAAATCCTTCTAGACTTTTGCTAGTCTGTGAATATTAATATATACATGTGTATGTGTGTATGTGTGTTGTTTGTTGTTAAATGCCATAGAGTCAATTCCGATTCATAGCAACCCTGTACAGGGTATCTGAGGAGCAGCTGGCGGGTTTCAGCTGCTGACCTTGTGGTTTACAGTATATAATATATAATATGCTGGACTACAAAGTTGGTTTGAATCACAAGATCAGCTGTTCAAGTTACCACTCGCTTCTTGGAAACCTTGTACAGGGAACTGACTTGACGGAACTTAACAACAACATATACGTGTGTGTATGTGTATATATATATATATATGTATGTATATGTATAAAAGACCTGTTATTAATATAGTTCTACTTTTTTACTTGATAGGATATTTGGGTCATCCCTTTGCCCATTTTAAAGGGCTATAGAGCTCTCCACCCTGTGCATGGTCATGGTCTGTCCTCTTTGTGCTTTTCTTGGCCACTGAGGTCTGTTAAGACTTCGAGGTTAAATCTTGTTCCCCCTGCCAGGCACAGACACTGCCGTGAGCCTCTTGGTGGGCATGCAGTGGTGTACTGGGGTGAGTGTGAAGCTTTGTAGCCTGAGTCAGTGGCAGGTGCCCCTTCATGGGGATGTGCCCAGGCCTCTCCCACCAGATGAGTCAGCACAGTCCAGTCCAGGATGCTGACCCCTGCCTTTGCCTTGTGTCCATTCCTAGTTGGCAGGCTTGACTGCCCTTGTTCTTTTCCTTTAAATGCTTTTGGGAAAAAGAAATTAGCAAGTTCCACATGCTCTGGGTTGAAAAGTTAGGCTGTGTAGGCAGACAGGGAAAAGGCCATTAGCCTATTGAAAGGTATCCCTGGGGTGGCCACCCTGACCACCCCTCGGTGACCTTTCTCCCTCTTCCAGATTTCTGCTCCTTCTACAATATCCTGAAGACCTGCCGGGGCCACACACTGGAGCGCTCTGTCTTCAGCGAACGGACGGAGGAGTCCTCAGCTGTGCAGTACTTCCAGGTGGGTGCAGCACTCCTCACCCCCACTCCACGGCTAGGCCTTTTCCCACAGCAGCAGCAGTGATGCCAACTGGTGTCTGGAAGCGTACAGTAGGCAGACCTGAGTCACGCCCTGGCTCTATGCAGTTTTCTTAGACTTGGTGGGTCTTGGTTTCCTCATCTGTGAAACGGAGATGCAGGCGCGCCTGCCTTAGAGGGTTGCTGGTAGGATTTGACTGCAGAGGCAAGCTCAGGTTCCCAGGCATTTTGGAATGACCACGCTAGGGCAGTTACAGCTTACTGAGCACCATTGCTTGCCAGGAACCACACTCTGCTTTCTTACATGTACAGAAGCAGTAGAATTCGCCCAACAACCCTAGGAGGTAAGTACTATTATTGTCCATTTTACAGATGAGAAAACTGAGGCTCAGAAAGGTTAAGTGACTTGTTCCAAGTCAAACAGCTATTATTCATCAGAGCCAAGATGGGAAGCCAGGTCTGCCTGATGCCAAAGCCTGTTGTACCTTTGCCCAGGTGCCACACTACCTCCTAAACCACCTGTTGTCATACAGAGAGACACTGCACTTCACCTGCCTGACGCTTTGAGCCCTAGGGGGTCTGTTTATGTATTCCTCCTCCTCTTGGGGCTCCTAGAATGGTCCCAGAACTCCACCTGTGGCTAATCTGAGTTCTCCTGGGTGGTATTCAGGCCCAGGCAGCCTGTAGCTCTGGGGCCTGCCCACCACAGTAGCATGATGGGGTCAGTGGTCCCCTCTGTCCCCAAGGTCTGCCCTCCAGCTCCCTGCTCTCTTTCTGGGAGCTGCCAACAGGTGCCAGCAGAAGGTCTGCTGCCTCCCAAGTGAGGTGCCTCAGACAACCCCTTCGGCCATTCTGGGCCCCTTGTCCTGCAGTGTGCCCTGCTGCCATTGATGTGTCTCTGTTCCAGTTTTATGGCTACCTGTCACAGCAGCAGAACATGATGCAGGACTACGTGCGGACAGGCACCTACCAGCGTGCGATCTTGCAGAACCACACAGACTTCAAGGACAAGGTGAGCACTGAGCCCAGGCACCTGTGAGGGCAGAGAGGACCCATGAGTGAGGCTGCCGTAGCTGAGGGTGTGCACTGGGGCCACTAGATTTTCTCCTGCCTCTTTTCCCTCTGGTCCTGGCCTCACACGCCCCTGCCCTCAGCTCCCCACTCCCACCTCAGGCTGCCAGTTGCCTCTACTTTTATTTTCTTCCATCACAGATTTTATCATCAGTTTTTTTCTGATTGCAAAAGTCAAATCTACTCATTGTAAAAACGCAAAGAACACAGTGTGTATCTAGTATTTCCATCCAAATTAGCCATTGCCAACAGTATGAACAGTATGAAGTTTCTTTTTCTACATTTTTCCATGTATTTTATAATGACTTGACTTACTTCAGTGTTTACATGGTGTATCAGAGCTCCTTAATGTGTATGTGTGTGTGTGTATATATATATGTTGTTGCTAATTGCCGTCGAGTTGGGATCCGACTCATAGCGACTTTGTACAGGAATTCTGTACAGGGTTTCTGAGGAGCAGCTAGTGAGTTGGAACTGCTGGCCTTTACAGCCCAAACAAACTTTGCAGTTTACCGCATTAACCGGCAGCGCCACACCAGAAATATATATATAATATATATAGAGAGAGTCCTGGTATGGTGCTGTGGGTGAATGCGACAGACTGCAAAGCCATTTGAACTGCAAGGTCAGTGTTTCAAGCTCGCCAGCTACTCCTTGGAAACCCCATATAGGGTCACTGGGTCGGAATCGACTTGACGGCACTTAGACAACATATATGTATGTGTGTGTATATATATATGTGTTTGTGTATGTATGAGTATGTGTCTATATATACACACACACACACACACATACACACACACACATATGTATATATATATAGAGAGAGAGAGAGAGAGAAAGCTCTAGTAGCGTAGTAGTCATGAGTTGGGCTGCTGACCTCAAGGTCAACAGTTCAAAACTACCAACTGTTCCGTGGGAGAAAGATGAGGCTTTCTGTTCCTGTAAAGATTTACAGCCTCAGAAGCCCTCCCTATACAGGGTTGCTGTGAGTTGGAACCAGCTCCACGGCACCACCATTTATGTGTGTGTGTGTGTATATATATATATATAATTATAAATTTTTTTAAAGAAATAGGATGCTATTAAACACACCTTTCATGCACAACAGTCTTCTTCCCATGTAAAGTATGTCTTGGGGCACTTTCACATCAGTGTGCATGTCACACTGCTTTAGTGTCTAGTGGTTTCCCATATAGATGTTTACTTCCTTGTTAACCTTTTAATATTACTATGTAATGTAGGTTGCCACTGCCAAGTGGGCTCCAACTCATGGCAACCCTATGAACAAAGTAGCAAAACATTGCCTGGTCCATTGTTGTGACTATAGTACTGCCTTCCACCCTGATGGGGGACGGGCTCAGCTTCCAGAATCCTATCACACAGCTTTCTATTGGGATCCATAAGGTTTTCACTGAGTTTTGGATTTAGATCACCAGGCCTTTCTTCCTAGTCTTACCTTATTTGGATGCTTCACTGAAACCTGTCCATCCTGGGTAACCCTGCTTCCAACACAGAAGCCACAGCTGGAGGATAAATCTCATATGGGCGTGGAAGTAAGAGAGAGAGAGTAAATAGAACCCAGGAAGCATATTTAAAAAATGAAGGTTTGTTCCTCACACACCCTGTTACTCAGAGTTTGTTTTTTCTTTTTAACCAAATTGGAGCTTATTTTTTTCCTGGCTGGATCACTGCTCCTTGGAAACCCTATACAGAGTCACTGTGAGAACAGACTCCACAACACTTGACAACAACAAACTTGGATTGACATGGATTTGCCTCCTCCAGTGCCGTGGCACTCCACCCCCCAAAATGTGGGGTGCACTTTAGCCTTGGTCCCTGGGGCCTGGGGAGAGTGACAAGAGTGCTGTCGTGTGTATTGCATTTGTCCTCTCAGCATACATTGTGCTGGGGCCCAGGCAGTGCCTGCTTCTTCAGGGCCTTCTCTCTGGCTCTCTCAGGACCCAGAGCCCTGTCCTGGCTCAGCTAGAGCTCTGAGAAGTACCCCAGGGCATTCCTACTCTGGCACACTTATGCCTATCACATGCCATGCTCAACACCACCTCTGCCATATTCCTGCCAGAACCATGGGTCCTCATTCTGCTGAGTGAACGATCACAGACTCCAGAAGACAGGACTTTGTACCAGACACTGGCCTGGACTCTGAAGATGGATGAGGGGAGCCCAGCTGCTCCTGCCCCAGCCCAGGCCCTGACTGCTCTTCAAATAGGGGTCAACATGGAGCTAAGAGAGACTACCAGCAACACCCCTGGGGCCTCTTGTCCTTGCGAGGGCTGCAGAGACCAGAGCAGCGTCTCTCAGTGTCAGCACAAGACCTGCAGGGTGGGGGCAGAGAGGGGGCTTTTCCTGTGGAGGGCCCCTGCCAGGTGACTTCACAGAGCCTGACTTTGGATGCTGTCCCCCTTTTGCAGAGATTTCACATGTTATTTTTAAAAATTGGTCCATTAATGTGCCTTTGGAACCCGAGGCTTCCATGTTCTTCCAGGCGGGTCTTAAACCCCAAACTCAGGGCCTCTGGCCTGTGTGGAAGGTCAGTGACTGAGGGCGACACCTGAGTGCGGTGAGCCAGGCCCAGGCCACAGCCTCCCTTCTTCCCCACTGGCTCCTGCTGTCAGTGACCCAACTCAGCTGCTAAGGCAGGACGTGACCTGTGAAGGGTAAACTTGACAGTGAAGGCAGGTCTGGCCCCTAGCACCACTGTTCACCAGCTCTGGGGCTCTGAGCGTGTGGCTGAGCTGGAAGTCCTGCTCAGTTATCCAGATGTGCTCAGTTGTCCAGATGTACATGGACTCGGGCTGGCCAGAGTGAGTGGTAAACGTGAGCCGCTTGTACAGCCATCACCTCACACCAGTGTCTGACCTCCCCTCCCCACCCCAGATTGTTCTGGATGTTGGCTGTGGCTCTGGGATCCTCTCGTTTTTTGCTGCCCAAGCTGGAGCCAGGAAGATCTACGCAGTGGAGGCCAGCACCATGGCCCAGCACGCGGAGGTCAGTGGCCCACAGGGACTTCACCCGTCCTCATCCTTGTCCTGTAGCCCACAGCAGACAAGTGGGCAGTGGCCCTGGCCTGTTAGAAGACTCTTGAGTTTCCAGAGACCTGAGCTTGAGTCTCAGAGCCGGCAGACGTCCCTTTTAGACTCTGATCTCCTTTGTCCTACCCAGAGCAGAGCAGTGGTGGGAGCGAGCTGCTCCTTGGCCCTGAGGTGGTGCCACCTCCAGACTGGCTGGGTGGCTGCTAGAGCAAGGACTCTTTTGAGTCTTTGGAGGCCGGCCTCATGCTGTAAGGGGGACTGTGAAGTCATCTGACTGCTGGACAGTCCTGGGCCTCACCGCACCTGTGCAATGTGGACAGCAGTAACATTTCAGTTCATCCATCTGAGTGGTCGTATTTAAGGGCAGACAGTGGAAACACCTCCCGCCCCACTTTCTGGCTCCCAACTACCCAGCCCGTCCCCAAAGGGAGCTAGGTAGAGAAAAGTCGCTGCAGAGATACATGGTGGATTTATCACTGTTGACGCCTGGGTTTCTCTCCTTGCCATCCCCTGGCTTTGCTCCCTTTCCAGTGTACCTGGGTCTCTGTGTACAGAACTGGCCATTCCTTTTAATAGGTGGACCTACCACTGTGGAGTCAGCCACTCTCCTCTACCTTGACATTTGGTCTGTCCCTTCTCCATGGGCACCTCTCCTGAGGGGGATTGGCTGTGGGATAATCCCTATCTAAGACAAGAAGGGTCCAGCCCCAAGTTCGGTGGCTGTGGCAGCGTGGACCTGCATCTATGTTGGCTTCCGGGGATAGTTGCCTTCGTGGGGTGCGGCCTCGGGCTACAGCAGGAGAGGCCTGAGAGAGGGCTCTTGGTGGGCTCTGCTAGTCTGGGTGCTGAGTTGAATGTGGGATGCTTATACGGGGTGGCAAGGTGGATTTGGTGGCTGGGTGTGGATGGAGGAGAGGACCCCATGGAGGATCAGTGCAAGGAGCACTCCACAGCCCCTCTGACCTGCCTGCCCATCTGCAGGTCTTAGTGAAGAGTAACAACCTCACTGACCGCATCGTGGTCATCCCTGGGAAAGTGGAGGAGGTGTCCCTCCCTGAGCAGGTCGACATCATTATCTCGGAGCCCATGGGTTACATGCTCTTCAACGAGCGCATGCTGGAGAGCTACCTCCATGCCAAGAAGTACCTGAAGCCCAGCGGTGAGTGTCCTGCTGGCATGTTGGGGGGCCTAGTGAGCAAGGGGAGTCTGGGCATTGGCCCTCAGCCCCCCACCTGACCCCAGCTGCAATGACTTTGGATGCTCTGGGCCCCAAACAAGACCAGATACTGCCTGCCTCTGTTTCCCTAGAGATCCTAGGGGTTGTGCTAGGCTTGGCCCCGAATGCCACAGGACAGTCTCTAGCTAGGGATCGGGATTGTGACAGGGTGCAGAGATTGGTGAGGTCCTGAGGCAGGCAGTCTGCTGAAGAGCTAAGCCCTCTTCACTCTGGGAGCCTTCCCCTTAACCTGCCTCAGCTGCCCCCCAGAACCTGCTCTCCCTGAGAGCCAAAGAGATAGATGGGACAGGGAAAGAGTATGTGTGACAGAGGGGGAGGAAAATGTGGGGATTGTGTGTTTGTGTGTGGGGGGGGTGAGAAACAGTGGAGGGCGTAAGAGAGGGAGAGAGAGTGGGGGAGTGTTGTGTGTGAGTGAGGGAGAGTGTGAGAGGAAGGGAGAGAGTGTGGGTGGTGTGTGTGTGTGAGAGGGAGGGAGTGTGAGTGAGAGTGTGAGAGGAAGGCAGAGTGTGTGTGGTGTGTGTGTGAGAGGGAGTGTGAGGGAGAGTGTGTGAGAAGTAGAGTGTGTGTGAGAGGGAGAGAGTGTAGGATGTGTGTGTGTCAGTGGGAGACAGAGTGGGCTGTGTGTGTGTGTGTCAGTGGGTGGTTGATTGTTCGGTGGCAGTTGTCTGGGTTACCCCTTGGTCACCTCCTGTTTGTGTTCATGCCTCCTTGCCTGCCTGGACATGGGCTACTTTGGAGTCACTGGTGGGTAACTCTCTGTATCACTGGGTGGGCAGCTGTGCGCAGTTTGGTCAGTGTGTTCACTGCTCTGCCCAGGTTTCCCGCCCAGGTAAAGGATTGTGTGTGTGGACATGTGGCACAGGAGGTGCCCAGTCAGGGTAGTGGGTAAGGGGCAGAGCATGGACAGCCAGCAGATTGACGAGGCCTGTTGGCAACCGAGTGACTTTTCCCTCTGTGGTGGGAAGCAACCTCTTGGGGTCCCTACCCTCTCTCAGTTCGGGTGGTAGCGGCATCTGCTGCTAGAGGTGGGAAGTGGCTGCCGTTTCCCTGCGTCTGTGCCTGCTCCGGGATTTGTCCTGGACCCTGTCACTTCCCACTCTGCAGTCCTCCCCAGAAGACACATTGACAGGCTGCAGCTTCTAGGGCTACTTGCCCGCCCCCTGCCAGCCTGGACCAGCAGGGCTCCATCCCAGCACAGAAAGCTCTATGGGGATTACAGGGAACTCCCCACTCCCACCCCCCATCACAGTTCACAAGTCAGCAGGAGCCAGAGGTTACTTCAGGGCTGTGACCACTTTTCCCATAATGCCCCTCAGAATCTAGCATGACTGTCCCCCCAAGGCAGGTGACCCAGTGAGTGTCCAGCTTTTCTAGCCTCTGGTGCAGCCTGGTGGGGGCATTTCAGGCCTCCCTCCTTTGAGGAGGATAGAGGAGCCCACAGCTGGAGCCCAGGTAGCCTGGGGCCCTAGGTTCCCCAAGGGTGGGCAGGGCCTCCAGAGCCCTAGTTCTTCCAGCCACGGCTCCTGACTCATCTGTCTGTCTAGCCATTGAATCATACATCTGGACCCTTACCTCCTCAACCCCCTTTCAGGTCATGGCCAGACTGGCTGGTGAAGGGCCTATCCTGTCAGCCTGATGTCTGTGCCAGAGCTGGGCAGCCCCCACCCAAGCTCTGGCCTCTGCTAAGGCCTCCAGATACCAACTGGGCTGCGGCTATGTTTGGAGCAATTTTGCTTTGTTTTCTCTGGCTACGTGTCCATGGACTACTAGCCTACATCCTGGGCCACCACTTCATTATCTGTGAGGCTCTAGTAGGTCCCTTCCTGCCTCTGAGTCCCTAAAATGTCAGGCCCACTGCATCCTGGGATCCTCTTCAGATTCAGTGAGCACAGTGCCTGCTCAGTGCTCATTTTGGCCACCAGCATACAGTGGGCCCCCCATACCTCTGTTGAGTAAAGGCTTGAGGATCTGGAAAGGTCCAGGGTGGGAAGCTCTGTCAGGCCCTGCAGGATGCCTCACCCTGACAACACCTCTTCCTGCCCTCGGCTCCCAGGAAACATGTTCCCCACCATTGGTGATGTTCACCTCGCCCCCTTCACGGATGAACAGCTCTACATGGAGCAGTTCACCAAGGCCAACTTCTGGTGAGTACTGCATGTGTCCTGGGTGGCCTGCCCTGCCCCTTCCCTGGCATGCTCTCCCGACCCCGCGTATTCAACAGTATCTGAAAGACCAGGTGGGAGAGGGCAGGACTACCCCACCTGTCTCTGGCTGCTGCTGACTTTGCTGGCGGGGGGTGGGGACTTTCTGCAGGTACCAGCCGTCCTTCCATGGAGTGGATCTGTCAGCCCTCCGAGGCGCCGCTGTGGATGAGTATTTCCGGCAGCCTGTGGTGGTTAGTCCTGGTGTCTAGGGCCCTGTCACAGTGAACTTTGGGGCTTGCCCCTCCTCCAGGGTGATGGAAGGGGCCAAATCTCAGCTGTGTAGCCCCAGGGAAGTGACTGTGCTTTCTGAGTCCTCGCTAATGTCCCTGCCCCAGCTCTCTGTCAGACCTGTATGTGTGTAAAGAGACTACAGGACACACTGAGCATGCAATGCGTGTGAATTGTTAATCAATGAATTGATTTTTGGTAAAGTGATTTTACAGATCAGTTTTACTCATTGACAGTTTTGACCTGTTACACAGGCCTGTCATTCAAAATCAAGGAAGTATAATGGTGCAAAACCACCTGCCTCTGTTCCTAATCACAGTTCCCAATTACTGTAGGCAAGCAGTATTTCTATACTCTTGACGTTTCCAGAAATTTCATACTTCAACATGCATGGGACATAGATATTCTTTTTTTTTTCCTCTCACAAAGTGTAGTATAAGCAATACTGTCTTAATATCTCTGTAGTCAGAGAATATACACTGCCTAAATTTAGTCCTTTCAATTTTATTGAGACTTGCTTTATATGTTGTTGTTCTCAAGTGCCATCGAGTCACTTCTGACCCATGATGATCCTGTGTAGGGTTTCCAAGAAGCAGCTGGTGAGCTTGATCCGCCAACCTTGTGGTTTGAGCTGATTATGCAGTCCAGCGCATTAACCCACAGCGCCACACCTGTTAGTCTCTTGGGTGGTTATGTGCCATGGAGTCGGTTCCAACTCATAGTGACCCTGTACAGGGTTTCCGAGACTCTGAATCTTTATGGGAGCAGAAAGCCTCATCTTTCTCCCACGGGACAGCTGGTAGTTTTGAACTGCTGACCTTGTGGTTCGCAGCCCAATTCGTAACCACTACGCTACCAGAGCTCCTAGTCTCTCGGTTAATGTTCTATTAACACTTATATATATGTATATATATATATATATATATAGTTGTCAGGTACCATCGAGTCGGTTCCAACTCATAGCAACATTGTAAAGGGTTTCCAAGAAGCAGTTGGTGGGTTTGAATTGTTACCCTTGGGGTTCATGGTCCAATGCTGATCCTACAGCATCTATATAGACCCTGGTGTGGTGCTGTAGGATCAGCATTGGACTGTGAACTATATTATATAACTATAATCAGCAATAGGAAAACGCACAGCAAAAATCTGTGCAGAGAAGACCTGATAAACATAATATGATCTCACTGACATTAACGTTTTATATATATATAGTATTTATATAACCAACCACAATCAGCAAAAAATCAGTGCAGAGAAGATCTGATAAACAATGAATATGATCTCACTGATATTAATACAACACTGCATTCAGCTAGTTTATATATATATATATATATATGTATGTATATACACAAATTTTTAGTTGAGTGCAGTGTTGTGTTAATGTTAATATATATATATGAATTAATTAGTTGAGTGTAATATTGTACTAATATCAGTGAGATAAATTTTCTTTTCTAAGCAGCACATAAATTGGGTTTTGTATAATAGGACTAAAAATTTTTTGACTTAGTTAACATATGTAAGGAGCCCTGATTGTGAGTTGGGCTGCTCGCCACAGGCCAGCAGTTTAAATCCACCAGCCGCTTTTTGGGAGAAAAGATGAGGCTTTCTGCTCCCATAAAGATTTACAGCCTCCAAAACCCTGTACAGGGTCACTATGAGTCAGAACCAACTCCACAGCACACAATCCACCATCATTAGAATATTTAGATCATCTTCATTTAATGTAATTACACACACACGGAGCCATCCAACAATTCATGAAAAAAATTCCATTATCTTTAATTTTTTGAAGCCCCTGCATCTATATGTGTGTATGATTCTATCATCTTACTAATTTTCTATTTTTCCTTGCCTTCTTTTGGTTTATAAAGATATGTTTTATCATTCTGCTTGCTACTTCTGGATGTCTTTTGCGAGTTTTGGAAGATTGTTGAAAGTGGCTCTTTAAGCGCTGTCTCTGCTCCCGTTCTCTCCTCTGCAAAGACTCTGTTCACTGACACTGGGCCTTTCACCAGGCGTCAGTCCGTCTTATACTCTCTTCTGTATTCCTCATCTTGTTTTCTCTCACTGCTTCATTTTTCTGTTTTCCACTGATCCGTATTTTTCACTAATGTCTTGGCTGTGTTGTTCAACCTATCTTTGGATTTTTCATTCCAGTTATTCTTTCAGTTCTAGAATTTTATTTTGATTATGTTTTATGATTCTAGTTGTCTGAAATGTTTTCATCTCTTTTCTTGGAACTTACTTCAGTATGTAGATGCGTGGTAGGAGTATTTCTGTTGTTTGCTTATTGTCTTAGTTGTTAGTTCCAATCCTTTGATTCTTCCTCTCGGCAAGCCTGGTCACAGAATGCTAGAATGAAAACTTACAGAGGTTCTGGGTGATACTGTTCATCTAAAGAGGATGTGTATTTCTTCTGGTAGGAGATGAGCTATATGGACTGAGGAACTTGGTCCTACCAGGCATTTGAAGTGTTTGGAGGTTTTCCCAGGCTTCTCTGAAGGGTTGTTAAGTTGTTGTTAAATGCTGTCAAGTTGGTTCTGACTCATAGCGACCCTGTCTGGATAGGGTTTCCAAGGAGCAGCTGGTGGATTTGAACTGCGGATCTTATGGTTCGCAGTCCAGTGCTGATCCTACAGCACCACATGAGGAGTCCACATTTGGTCAAGCATTTAATTAACTCACCCCTAATGTGATGGAAAGGAGCTCTGGTGGCGTAGTGGTTACGAATTGGGCTGCGAACCTCAAGGTCAGCAGTTCGAAACTACCAGCTGTTCTACAGGAGAAAGATGAGGCTTTCTGTTCCTGTAAAGATTTACAGCCTCGGAAACCCTGTACACGGCACATAACAACAACAATGTGATGGAACTCTGGTAGCATAGTGGTTATGAGTTGGGCTGAGAACTGCAAGGTCAGCAGTTCGAAACTACCAGCCATTCTGTGGGAGAAAGATGAGGCTTTCTGCTGCCATAAAGATTTATAGCCTCGGAAACATTATGCAGGGTCGCTATGAGTCGGAACTGATTCCACGGCACACTACCACCACTGTTAATGAGTAAGGGAGTACAGTGGCTTCACACGATAAACATTGGACTGCAAACCACAAGGTTCAAAAAAAAAACGGGAAAACTGCAGGGACTAAGATCAGGAAAGGTGTGTTCCAGAGTTGCATCCATTTAACTTACTTGCTCAATCTGTGCATCAAGCTGATGTCCTGGTGTGGCGCTGTGAGTTAATGCGCTGGACTGACTGCAAGATCAATTTGAACCACAAGGTTGGTGGTTTAAGCTCATCAGCCGCTCCTTGAAAACCCTATACAGGGGTCACTGTGAGTTGGAACCGACTCGAGGGCACTTAACAACAACAACATGATGACTCTAAAGGGTAGTGGTTCTCATTTTGGTCTCAGGACCTCCTCCACGTTCTTAAACATGGAAAATCCTGAAGTGCTTCTGTTACATCTAGTAATATAGTGTCAATAGCTATTGAAATGAAAAGCTAAACCCACTAAACTTCAAAGAATGTATTTATTAATGCATTTTGAGACAATAGGTCCATTTTATATTGTACACATTAACATAAATAGCAGGGTTTTTTTAAATTTGTTTTAAGTTGTTATTGTGAACTGAGTGATAGTTTACATGGGAGAGCATCGGCTTTACACCATTGTTTCGTTGTAGTGATTACAGTCTCCCCTGTGTATCATCATTCAACAGACAGTATTTGCTTCCATTTCCTCTGGTTTTTGTTTTGTTGTTGTTATTTTGGGGGGGTGATGTAAACAGAAACACTAGGAATATGTAATAATTTAAATAACCAAAGGGCACATTCAAATAGCAGTTTATTTTAATGAAAATATTTTCCCCAAAAACTGTTCAGCAAGAATAGTGGCATTGTTTTACCATGAGCAAATCTGTGGTGTCTGGCTTCAAAAGACAGCTGAATTCTCAGGACTGCATCTGCGTTCAAGCTGTTGTGATATCATAGGTGAGGGAGACTCAAAAATCTTCTTAGTATTATGACGCAGTGAATGTGGCCTTGTGGGGCCTTGGGAAGGACTACACATGCTTTCAGGAGGAGCCGACAGTGGCCTTTGTGCAGCAGAGCTTCCAGCACCTGGCACCAGTCCACGCTGACCTTCCTTCCTTAGCCTGTCTCTTCACAGCAGCCTCTGCTTGCTGTCTTGGCAGCTCAGGATTGGACAGATACCTTGGAGGGACACTACGTGCAGAATGTCCAGTTTTTGTCTCTGCTTTTCCCTTCTTCTGAGCCTCTTGGACCCTTGAGTCCTAACTGCATTGGTCACCCTGAGCACCTAGTTTTTCTCCCCCACCCAGAGAATTGCTGAAAGGAGTAGGCAACTGTTTTCTGCCCAGACTGTCTGCCCTGTTTGCAGTCAGCAAACACCCAAGGAGGAAAAACAGAGGCAAAAAAGGCCCTCAGTGCATGTCCTTTCCCTCAGGGGTCTTCGCCTCCAATATCCTGGTACTTTGATGTGTTTTTGTTCTTTCATTTTTTTCATCTTGTACAGTAATTGGCAAGAGGATTAGTCTGAGACAATATTCTTTCACAGCTGGGAGCTGGCATCAACACACAGTTCTGTAACTGGTTTTATTCACTTAGTGTTTAACCTCAGAGATCTTCTTGCATCTGTTCACTGTCTCCTATGGATGAGCCATTACTGGTTTAATTAGATGCTATATCTGGAATATGCTGTCATTAATTTCTGTACAGTTGGCTCCAACTCATAGTGTGACCCATGTGTAGAGTTTCCTAGGAGCAGCTGGTGGGTTTGAACTGCCAGCCTTATAGTTCTCAGTCCAGCGCTGATCCTACAGTGCCACGCTAGAAGTCAACCTTGCACAAACGTACCCTCCTCTCAGCATGTCTAGTTTTAGCTAATTGGTCCTAGAGCCATGGGTACACACGGCCTAGAATGTTCTCCTGAGATGGGTAGGGCTTTTGCTGGCCCTGTGCCTCCAAGTCAGGTTACACCTGTGGTCTCTTCCAGGACACATTTGACATCCGGATCCTGATGGCTAAGTCTGTCAAGTACACAGTGAACTTCTTAGAAGCCAAAGAAGGAGATTTGCACAGGTATTGGCCTCCTAGGCTTGGCTCCTCTCATTGGTCAGCTGGTGCGGCCCTCTGCCCCAGGGCAGGTGGGTGGGGCACAAGGACTCTGCACTGCCCACCCACCCCTTCTCTCCCAACAGCCCCTTTGGCTTCCCAGCAACCACTGCCCTTTGCCTTCCAGGATAGAAATCCCATTCAAATTCCACATGCTGCATTCAGGGCTGGTTCACGGCCTGGCCTTCTGGTTTGATGTTGCTTTCATCGGCTCCATGTGAGTGGAACTGACAGACCATGCCACCCAGGCCTTGCCCTGCATCGGGGCTCCAGGTCTGGGTCGGGGAGGTGGGGCAGGACTTGCCCAGGTCCTACTGCCTTTTCCAAAGGGAGGCTGTTGTGAGGGGGGCGTGTCTGTCCTGACTGCCCCTTATGGGACCTTGTCTGCTGTGTGTGTCCCTCACCCTGTGTGTCAGTGACTAGGCACTCTGGTGAAGGATCCTTGGTGGGCGTGCGTGGCTATCTGTAGAGACAGAATACGTGGACATGAGGGCTGGCCACCTGGGAGAGCTCCAGGGGTTACAGGGGGGTGGCTGGAGGGGTGGCTCCAGTCCAGTCAAGTGCCTGCCTGTCCCTGCTTGGTAGAATGACTGTGTGGCTATCCACGGCCCCGACGGAGCCCCTGACCCACTGGTACCAAGTACGGTGCCTGTTCCAGTCACCTCTCTTCGCCAAGGCCGGGGACACGCTCTCAGGGACATGTCTGCTTATTGCCAACAAAAGGTGCGACTGGTCCCTGGGGCTAGGTAGGGGTGGTGTGGTTAGGTTCCCCCACCCTGGCCAACAGGGTGGGCCCCAGAGCTGAGCTAGGACTCAGGGTTGTTTCTCTTGTCCTCTCCACAGACAGAGCTACGACATCAGTATTGTGGCCCAGGTAGACCAGACGGGCTCCAAATCCAGTAACCTCCTGGATCTGAAGAACCCCTTCTTCAGGTAGGGTGGGCCCTCAGCCTGCGTGGGGGGCCCCTCCTGGCCCTGCAGTCCCCTCGGCCCTGCCCATGGGTCCGTCTCTGGCGCAGATACACAGGCACGACACCCTCGCCCCCACCTGGCTCTCACTACACGTCACCCTCAGAGAACATGTGGAACACGGGCAGCACCTACAACCTCAGCAGTGGGATGGCTGTGGCTGGTGAGTCGCCCCCACCCCCCAGCTCAGGGCCCACACTTGGGGGATGCGCTCACTGCTCATATCTGCCGGCGCTCCCTGGGAAGAGCTGGCTACCTTTGGTGACAGGACTAGCACCCACTCTGCCCCGGGAGAGCCCCTCACGCCCTGGCACTGACATCGTCCCTGCCCCTGACCTCTCGCTCTCTGGGTGCAGGGATGCCGACGGCCTATGACCTGAGCAGTGTTATTGCTGGGGGCTCCAGCGTGGGCCACAACAACCTGATTCCTTTAGGTGAGTGGTACCCGGGGTCTGGGGAGAGCGGGACAGAGCCCAGGTCTGGGGGCTTTTGCACCGTCATCTCTTCCTCTTCCTGGGGGCTCTTGACTTGAGGCTCTTCGCTCCTCTCTGCCTCGCTGTGCGCCGCCTCTGCGCCCGCCCTCCCTATGCCCCTGGTGTGAAAGCACGAGTGACCAGGGCGGGCAGGCGGGCGGGGGGCGGTGACGCCGTCTCCCTTCCCTCCTTCCTCTCGCTGCGCAGCCAACACGGGGATTGTCAATCACACCCACTCCCGGATGGGTTCCATAATGAGCACGGGGATTGTCCAAGGTAACCGTGGGTCAGGGGACTGGGCACCGGGCTGGGGGGCAGCTAGTGTGTGAGTGTGTCGTCCTCTCGCCTGCTCGCTCTCCTCTGACTCTGCTGTGGGGCCAGGTGGGCGAGAGGGCAGAGCTGGCCCCTCAGTGCCAACGCCCCACCCCACAGGGTCCTCAGGCGCCCAGGGCAGCAGTGGCGGTGGCTCAGGAACCCACTACGCTGTCAACAGCCAGTTCACCATGGGCGGCCCTGCCATCTCCATGGCCTCGCCCATGTCCATCCCCACCAACACCATGCACTACGGGAGCTAGGCACTTCCAGGCGCCACCAACGGACTGACAGCACCAGGAAACCAAATGAAGACCCGCCCCCCACCCCTAGCCGGGGCGGCCCTAACCCTGTACTGGAGAAGCCTGAACACCCCAGTCACAGCCCTCTTTGCTATGGGAACTTGGACACTTTTTTACACGTTGCTGCGCCTCTACCCTGACCCCCTCCAGTCCCCACATCTTGACCCTGAGCGTGTGTCGCTGCCATATTTTACACAAGTTCATGTTGTGGGAGCCCCGGTCCCCTCGCTCCTGCCTGCTCCACCCTGAGTTCGACATCAGCAGGCAGGTCAGGCCTGACCGCTGTGGCCCCAAGCGGGGAGCCACCCAGCTGCCACTCCGCACTACCCTTTGCTGGTCTCTAGTGCATAGGCAGCCGTGGCGGGGTGGAGCCTCCCCAGAACTACCAGGCCGTGGGCACAATGGGCATGACGGGCTGCTTTTTTTTAATTTTATTTTTTTACGAAAAGAACCAGTGTCAATCCACAGACCCTCTGAGGAACCAGGCCGGCTGGGCCAAGCCAGCAGCCCCTCTCCCCAGACTCAAGAGGCCCAATGGTGAGGGGTGGCCCGGCCAGGTCTTGCGGGGCAGGGGCAGGTCAGACCTCTGGGGCACCTGTGCCCCCCCCCACCAAAGGGTTCACCTCACACTTGAATGTACAACTAGCCCGGCTGTTGGGAAGGCCCTCCATCTGTGGCCCCAGCCTTTTGCTGCTGTCCTGTCCCTACACCCCTGCAGGTCCCCTCTCTAGGCTTGGAGGCCGCTGGGGACAACACAGAGCCCGAAAGGGTCTGTGGTGGGAGGCGCCCTTTCTCGTAGCTGCCATCAGGCCTGTGTAGCCCCCTCCGTACTCGCTCCAGCTCCTACCTGTATTATGGCATCTGGTCCTTCCAAATGGGGCAGGGACCTTGCAGGGACCTCTTCCCCACCCCTCCCCCCGAAATGGCAAAATAAACAAACAAGGAAATGTGTTTTTCAGCACAGACAATTTTCTTCTACTTCTGCTCCCCCTTTTTCTAACACCCCAAGCTCAGATGTGGGGGAGCTCAGGGTAGACCCAAAGCCCCATTCATTGTGCACCTAGGGAAGGGCACACACAGTGGCCCCTGGGGTCTGTCCCCCTGCCCCCCTACCCACTCCTATTCTCTGCCAGCTGTCAGGGAGGAAGGCCCAGCAGGCTGGCTGGAGGCAGGACAGACCCAGCCTGCCCCCATGCAGCGCTGCCCGAGCTGCACTGGAAGCCCCCTGCTCGGCTGTCCCTCCACCTTTATATAAAGTTGGAATCACCTTTGCATAGAAAATAAAAGTGTTTGCTTTGTAAGAAAAGTCTGGAAAGTGGCAGAGTGACTTGAGGTATCGCAGGAGCCGCCAGCCATCACCAGGAGAAGGACAGAAAGAAGGTCCCTTCATGTTTGGCCTGAAAAAGAGAAAATCCCAGGAGACCCAAGGACTTGAGTCTGGGGGTGTCCCCTGGGCTGGAGAGCTCCCCTAGGCCACATCTGGACCCTTACCTGCAGGAGTGGACTTTCTAGGTAGTGGCTAGGGACCGGGACAAGGTGGACGGCAGCAATGTGGTGGGGGGCAGATCCATAGCATGGGGTGGAGGTACCACATGTTCCACAGGCAGCGGCTGGAAAAAGTACAACTGGACCGAGCGCCCCGCCAGTCAGCAGCGTCAGGACCAGAAGCCTGCCCAGCCCGCTGTGGCCTGGCTCCCCCGCCCATGCCTGTACCTTGCAGCCCAGGGCCAGAAGGGTGTGGAGCAGCACCACGGTGGACAGCAACGCCCCCGCGGCTGGTCTGGTGTCCTCACGGACAACAGGCCACAGGGCAGATACCAGGCCAGTGGATGAAAGGGCCAGGGCCAGCACTCCAAAGAGCCACTGCAACCATGGGACGGGGATGAGCCACAGTATCTGGGGGCGACATGGGCCACCAGCTGTCATGGGGTCCAGCTGTTGGAACGGCATCTGCTTGCTCCACCTGCCTGGACCCTGCTTACCACAGTGGGGATGAAGACAAAGAGGGAGTAGCCGTAGACACAGACGGTCTCCAGGAAGGTGTACGGCCCCATGCGCTCCCGGATCCCCTTTCGCCACTGCAGGAAGCCCCACAGCGCCAGTGGCACCAGCCCCGCATAACAGTAGATGGTGACACTTGCCACAGTCACTAGGGACAAGAAGAGCCAAAGGCAGTTACCCCCAGGCTCCCACCGGCACTTCGAGCCCTGCCACCCTGCTGTGCCGAGCCTGCCTGGCTTACCCTTGTGGAACTGGGGGCTGTAGTGGATGGTGGGGTCCCTCCTCTGGGCCAGCACCAGTGTCAGGTTGCCAGTGATGGCCAGGACAAAGGCCAGTGTGGCACAGATCCAGAAAGGCCCTGTGGGTCGGCACAGTTAGGGGTCAGCCCTAGAGCTCCTGGGACTGATGGGCTTGTCCCGTCCCAAATGTGCTGGGGCCCAGGCCAGATCCTATCCAGCCCATCAGTGTCTTCCTTGTGGCTCAATCCACTGCTTGCTCTCAGGCCATATTTTTCTAGACGTCTCTCACCAGCCTCTGTCATGGCTGCTCCGTCCCCAGGACACACTCCGTGTGACTTCCTGGACCCCGCATGCTTGGCTCTTGTCTCCCATCACTGATGGCAATTTCTCAACCTCTTAACTGTCTCAATTCCCCGACACCATTGATGGAGTGGGAGCCCTGGCCTTACCCCTTAGCCGTCTGTACTCACCACTTGAAGGACTTCATCTTTGTATGCTGACTCACAGACGTTTCAATTCTAAGCCTCTGCCTCAATTACCGCTCTCACATCCACATTCCCACAAGGGGGTCTCCAGGTGTCTACCCCACCCCTACATTAGCTCTCTCTCCTTCCGTCTTCCCCGTTTCCCCTACCAGTACAGAGCGGTTCCATCCTAGCAGTATTCCTTGACCCTCTCCTTCTACCCCACGTCTGTCAGCAAATCCACCTTCAAGACCTACTCCCAGAGCCAGTCCGTCACTCCTCCCTACCTCTTCCTCACCCCATCCCTGGGTCATGGAGGTCGTCTTCTCCCTGGTCTGGCTTCCACTCCATGCTCCACAGTGGCCAGGAGGTACCAACAAGCATTAACTCTAGTCCTTTTCCTTCTCATCACAGCTCAGAAGGCTTGTGCGATCCGTCACCTCTGTGACCTGCCAGCTTACTCCATCCCAATGACACTGTTGTCCTGCAGCTGCAGGCCTTTCTGCCCTGGCTGTTCCTGTGCATCCTGCTGCAGCTCTAAACCCTTCCGTGACTCTCTGTCACCCTCCTTTAGCCCTGGCTGCCCCCTCTTCCTAGAATGCTCTCCCCCTGCTCCCCTTCACCTACTGCCAAGCCCTCCCGTTCCTCCTCACAGGCCTTCCCTGGCAAATCCATGCAAAACCACAGGGTTCTTCTCCCTCTAGGTGCTTCGCTTGTTTTTCTGGCACCAACCCTGCAATCCTGTTTCCCTGAACAGAATGTAAGTTTCAGGCACTCCAAGAACCACTGCTGTCTTAGCTGTAGTCCCTGGCCCTCAGTCTACTTTTGTTGAGTGAATAACTAAACATACCGAACCCGTAACTTCACTCACCATACAGGTCTGGTCGGTTCCGCAGACGGTGCCGAACAAAGTTGTGGCCCGGCCAGGGCAGCAGGGAGCCTTTGATTCGGTCCAGGACCTAGGGAGCCAAGGTAACACCTGGGATGGGAGCCTACCCATGGCTCTTCACCACCCAGAGAAGAAAAGGGACAAACTCCCACTTAGGCCTCTCCCCCCCATTCCCCCCTGGATTGTCCCCTAGTGATGACCTCAGTCTCTTTTCCCTCCACACCATCGCCCAAAAAGCTCTTCCTTCTGAAGTGCTACACAGGCCTGGAGCCACTCAGCATTCCTCCTGGACTTGCCATCTTCATTCTTGTTTCCTTCCTCCTCCTCAGTTTGCTGCCTTTGCTGCAGCCCCTACGCCTGTCAGAAGAGCTATCTAGTCCTGGGCAGTCTTTGTATAACTCAGTACAAGGCATTCTGTGTATCATCTCCCACCCTAGCCTGGGGCCTGTGGTCCATGCACATCCCACTCCGGCTCTTCACCCTTCCATGACTCCCCATCCTAACTTTTGTCATTTAGCTCAGCGGGCCTTGGCGAGCTGACTTGGGCATGCCTGTTCTCCCTCATCCTGCAGCACTGTCCCCACCTCACACAATCCACCAAGGCCAGGTGACATGCCACTTGTGTCACCTCTGGTGCTCTGCATGGGGAGGCCCCTGAGCCTGGGGCACAGCTGTGCTCCCCTCCACTCCTTAGGTCTCAGCAAAGTCCTCACCTTCAGGAGGCCTTGCCTTGACTCAGATCAAGTGCACCTTCTGTCCTCATAGCTCCCTTCCCAAACCTAAAACCAAACCCAATGCCATCGAGTGGACTTCCACTCGTGGTGACTCTACAGGACCAAACAGAACTGCTTCAGAGCGTTTCCAAGGCTGCAAATCTTTCCACCCACAGCGGCTACTGGGTTCAAACAACTGATTTTCCCAGTTAGCAGTCGGTGCTTTAACCACTGTGTCACCTGGGTTCCTTCCCACAGCCCCATTCTCCCCATAATCTGTATGTTGCTGTGAAGTACCATCAAATCAGTTCTGAATCATAGCAACCCGGTATAGGGATTCCAAGGAGCAGCTGGTGAGTTTGAACCGCCCACCTTGTGGTTCAAATTGACCTTTGAGTCCAGTGCATTATCCTGCAGCGCCACACCAGGACTCCTGAATCTAGATAGCAGGCCAGGGTCTGGTAGCAGGAAAAGCACTCAGTGAATACTGCTGGAACCCAGAGCACCAGCTTCCAGGGAAGGCCTGACCTGTGATGTGTCCACGTCAAAGAAGCTCTGATAGTAGGCAAAGGTCCAGAATCCGGGCTGCTGCTGCTCCCCCTGCAGGAGCTGACCAACACACAAGGCTGTCAGAACCCATCCCAGGGGCTGTGGGCCAATGAGGGGCAGGGGACAGGGGACTCACTGCAGCCTTGTCACTTTCCTCCTCCACCTCATCTTCGGCTCCATAGCTGTCACCCAAGTCTACAGACACGTGTCCCTGGGGGGTCAGCTGGTCACTTCTGCTCGTGGTGGACGCATCTGGGGTCTCAGCCAGGAGATCAGTGGCTTCCTGGAACTCTGGAGGACCAAACAAGGCCGATTTGGGGGCGGAGAGTCTGCTCGACAGCCTGACTCCCTCACTTTGGAAAATGGGAAGGAGGTCAACTCCCTTACTAACGAGGACTGCAATTTAGGCTCTGGGGAGTTCTGCCATGGGGTGGGGGTCCTGGGCTGAGGTAGAAGCTCTGAATTTCAGTGTAGGGTTTGAACGGGGTTCAAAGTAGTGATGGTTTCAATTCTGGTTCAGGGTTCACAGCTGACTGGGGTTTGGGTAAAAAGAGTGGGGAGCTGGGTAGGTGGTTCGAGCCTGGTCGGGGCTGCGCTCACCGTGGAAGGTCAGCTCGTCTGCCGCTGCCATGGTCAATCCGGGGCGTCACCACATCCCACTGAGCAGACACCGATCAGGCCCGCCCCCTCCGGCCCTTACCGGAGCCTAGCCCTCGGCACGGCTTGGCAGTTAATGGCACCCACCGAGGCTTGAGTTCGCCGCCCCGGTTCCAACAGGTGTACCCCGCCTCGCCTCACCTGAGGCTACTTCAGTCGGCGTGGCCTGAACTGTCTGCGCTTGCGTGGCTCGCTACCTGCCAGTTCCCTAGAGTCAGAACCCTTTCCCGATGAGACTGTAGAGGTAACTTCCGGTGTCGGTCTGTTTCCTATCCTCTTCCGACGGAACCCACTTCCGGCAGCCTTGGTAGTTATGCAGAAAAGACTCTCGGGCCTTTTATTTCGTATACCCGGCGTTTCTCTTCGGAAAACGACGCCAAACCGGAAGACGATGGCGGCGGCCGCTCTGAAGAGATTTTGGTCCCGTGGTAGCGGAGAGGCGGGTGACGCGGCTGTTGTGAAGCCGGGCGTGTGGACGCGATTCGGTAAATAGCGGCGGGAAGGGTCGGGGTTGGTGGTCGCAGCGGTCAGGTTGCTCTTACCGCACTTGTCTCCTGTTCAGGCGTCTGGTCCCGTGCGCTGCTCCGGGACTATGCAGAGGCCTGTAGGGACGCGGCGGCGGCGGCCCGGGCCCAGCCGGCCCGGGCGACCCTGTACGCAGGGCTACTGGGAGGAGCAGCTGCGTGCTTCGCGCTGGCGCCGAGCGAGGCGGCCTTCGAAGAGGCGCTGCTCGACGCTTCGGGAACCTTGCTGCTGTTGGCGCCGGCCACGCGCAACCGCTGCTCGGAGGAGTCTGTGCAGCGGCTGCTCTGGCTGCGGGGCCGCGGCCGCCTGCGTCACCTGAACCTGGGGCTCTGCTCGCTCATGTACGAGGCGCCTGTGGATGCCCAGGCCAGCCTCTACCAGGCCCGCTGCCGCTACTTGCAGCCCCGCTGGGCCGACTTCCCGGGCCGGATCCTGGACGTGGGCTTCGTGGGCCGCTGGTGGGTGCTGGGGGCGCGGATGCGCGACTGTGACATCAATGACGAAGAGTTCCGCCACCTGCCCGCGCACTTACGTGTCGTCGGGCCGCAGCAGCTTCGCTCGGAGACCAACGAGCGGCTCTTCGACGCCAAGTACCAGCCGGTGGTGCTCACGGACGACCAGGTGGACCAGGCGCTGTGGGAGGAGCAGGTTCTGCAGAAGCAGCAGAGGGAGCGGCGAGTCCTCGGCCAGCCCGGCGTGCGGGGCTGAAGCGCGGGGCTGCCGACTGACTGGCCGCCCGGTGGGCACTTGTGTTCTGTGTGGCTCTAGGCTTTGGAGACAGGAGATGATGTGGCCGGGGGAGAGCTGTCACCTCCCGAGTTGGTGACCACTGTTAAATGAAGTGCGATTTGGCCTCACCGTCCCCTAAGGCCAGCCCGATGTTTTTTGGGTTTTGTTTTTAATTCTTGCTGAAATATCCGCATTCTCTGATCTCATCTGGTTTTCGTTTCTGTAAGTAACCTTTCCAGCTTTCATGTTTTATTTTGAAATAACGGCCGGCTCACGGGAAGTTGGCAAAGGGATGCTGAGACATCCAGTGCCCTTCTCCCACCAGCTCCCCTGAAGGCCAGTCCGGCCCTCCCGATTTAACAGCAAAGTTTGTTTGCTTTAAAAAAGCTTTGAAGGATAAACTGTTTCCTGATAGGGAATCCTAGTGCTGGCTTATGGGCTACTCCAGTAACCCTGAAAGCAATCCTGTAGAGCTGACAAGGAATGATCAAGCCCGTATTTGGTCCTAGGTGGTAATTGCCAAGGCTCTGGTGATTGTATTTTCAGAACTACAAACATAAGGGAACGAGACTAAGACCACCTCTTTACCAGGGTGGCTGGCTAATAAAGCAGGAGATGAAATAATCTGTCTTGTCTGTAATGATTGTGTTTGTGTGTTTTGGCACTTGGCCCTTCCCTTCATAATATGGACACAGTAGGCACCTGGTAGTTTTTATATCCTTGAGGAGAAGCACCTGCTAAGTCAGCAGCCCCATTTTACAGAGGAAGAACCTGAGGTTCAGGAAGTTTGGTACTTTTCCGTGGCCGTGGCAGAGCCATGATTCAAACTTTGCAACTCTCAGTACTATGTGACTTCATCTCAAATTTCAGTCACAAAATTCTGTCACTGCCGTCTTGCCATCGATAAGACATGAGTACAGAAGTAGATAAGCAAACATAAAAGGTAAATCCAAGACAAGTGATACTAGACTCTAATCCTGTACAGTTTTTGTTAGAGAGAAAAAGATCAGCCGACTTGGGAAAAGGAGTTAAGCCACGCTGCTATCCAAGTGAGACTTGCTTCTCACTGCAGTCAGAAGCATTGGAAATGAGAATTGCACAATTTTATTGCTGGAGTCAATTATTTGCCCCTTCCGATACCCAGGGAGGCTGTGTTCCATGCATGTCCTTGTAACAGCATGGAGCTATGAACCTCAGAGCAGGTTCACAGCTGACTTTAAGCAAGCATCTCAAGTTTGTGTGCAGGAACTGCCGGAATTCTGTGTGCCTTGTCTCTTTAGAGGGCTGGCACCCACTCCTTCTGGATCTGGTGTAAGAAGTTGCCTGTAAGATTGGCCAGGAAACTGGGGGTCCTTAGTGCTCTGCATCGTGGCGCTTGGCCAGGCTCCCTAGGGACACGTCCAGGTGGTGGTGTTCACTCCTGAGCTCCCAGCCCCACAGTGCTCATCCCAGTCAGTGTAGGCCTCAGTCATTGTTGACTTAGCACAAGGTACTGGTACATGCTGTGAGCAGGAACTGGTGTGCGCTAGGGAGGTAGATCAGGCTTGTATCCCAGCCTCTGACCCTCCCAGGGGAAGTCGCCCTGAAGTGTCAGGCCTGCTCAGTGCCCAAAACAGCCAAGTGGGGAGATTGCGTACGGGTCTCAAGGAGAAGTGCTGTCGAGTCACTTCTGACTCACAGGAACCCTGTATAGGGTTTCCAAGGAGTGGCTGGTGGGTTTGAAACGCCAACCTTATGGTTCGTAGTGACCCTGGGATCCAGTGCATTATCCTGCAGTGCCACACAAGGAGAAGAAAGGGGCCTTAATGCCAAATGTGACACTCAGCCTTCACACTTACAGCTGACTTCTCTGTGCCTCCGGTCCCTTATGTGAACAGTTCCTTTCAGGATACTTAAAAACATTGGTAGCCACACAAAATCATTCAGTACCTAGCAGGCATTCACAGCCCTTTGTGTGTGTGAGGAAGATAACCCTAAACCCATTCTCTGTTTTCCTGGAGCTCACCTTGGATTTGGGGGCACTGCTCCTCAGCCTACTGGCATGTGGGAAGTGATCCATAAAAGGAGGAGGAGTGTGGTGAATGTGTGCTCATCTCTCAGATGACACCCCCAGTTCACTACAAATCTCCCTTTCTCCTCTAGTGTGTCCACAATGCCAAGCCTGGCCAGCTATGTTGTCATCGGAAAGACCACTAGAGGGCACCAGAGATGCAAGAGACCACCATCCTCTGCTTCGCCCACGTGGGATGGCTAACCACTTTTCTTTTGTTCAGTGGCTGGTGGAGAGAGTACAGTTACCTCATGTATCTGTTTGCTGCTGTTTAGAACCAGGTAGATGATGGCAGAAGGTGCCCTGGTGGGGTGCAGTGGTTAAAACTCTGGGCCAGCTAAGCGGATCACCCTTCCCATGAACCCCCTCTCCACGGGAGGATGATGTGCACTCATTGCCTTTATGGATTATACCCTTGGAAGCTCTATGGAGCAGTTCTCTGCCCTGTGTTATTGTTAAGTGCCAATTAAGTCAATTCTGACCCATAGCGACCCTATATAGGGTTTCCAAGAAGCAGCGGGTGAGCTTGAATCACCAACCTTACAGTTCAAACAGCTTTGCAGTCTGACGCATTAGCCCACAGCGCCACACCAGGACTCCGCCGTAAGTCGGAAATGACAACTGATACACAGCAGTGGGTGGATGAGGGCAGAGGTCAGGCTCTGAGGAGGAGCTGTGTCTGTCCCAGAAAGGTGTGTATGTCCCTTGTTTACAGCAGTTGAAGTGAGTGATTCTTGGACAATCAGTACTCTGGAAGAAGCCTTTCTTGTCACCTTCCAGCAGGTGTGATGGGGTCACTTGCTTGGCGTTGAGCTCAAGTCCATTTCCCTTGTTTCCTGGGACTTGTGTGGAAGCACCTAGACCTTACTAGGGTGAGGGAAGTAAGTGCTTGCCTTAGCCCGAGCCCAGACCTTGAAGCATCCTGTCCCCAAGTTTGATCATGCCTGCCTTGGCCCTGATGCCGCAGGCTGCTCACCCCTCAGCTGATCTTACTCCATAGATTGGTCTCCTGACAGGTGTGCATATTACGGATCAGCTGGGACCTACCAGATGGAGTTTCTCAAGGACTAACTACCAGCGACATAACAAGGCCTGGGCTTGTCCTTGTGAAATTTCCCTGAGTGTGGCTGCAGGGGTTTCTTCTCCCTTGTTATGACTATTGTGAGGAGCCTTTCGCTATTGTAAACCTGAAAAGAACCCTAGTGGTAAGGGTGAGCACTGGACTGCTAGCCACAAGTTCAGCAGTTGAAACCCACAAGCTGTTCCTTGGGAGAAAGATGAGGCTGTCGGCGGGACCCTCTGCAAGGTCACTAGGAGTCAGAATCAACTGGGTGGCAGTGGATTTGCTTTTATTATAGACCTGAAGGAGCCCTGGTGGCACAATGGTTTAAGTGCCTGACCACTAACCAGAAGACCTGAACATTTGTTTCCATAAAGATTACAGCCTATGAGTGAAATATGGCAATCACAAAAGGACAAATATTGTATGAGACCGCTATTGTAAAAGCTCAAGAAAAGGTTTTCCTTCCAAAAAGAAACAATTTGATGGTTACCAGGGTTGAGAGGGAAGGAAGAGTAATTCACTGGCTAAAGGATAGAGACACATGTTAACTTGGGTGACAGGGAGGGTAATATTCAAGAAGGAGCAATGAGATAGATAGGTGAAGACAGGGAGGTATGCAAGGGCTAAAGGGGAGAGAGGTCAATCGTGATAGATACACAACCTTGGAACAGCAGTGCTCTGTGTGTTTCGTTCTATGTGGAAAGGCTTTTGGGTATGGAAGGAAAAGTGGGATATATCATATATCCCAGCAATCTGAAAGGGTTTGAAAGAAGGTATTTGTACATGGGTAACCACGGGGAAGAAGCGGGACAACTGTTGTTGCGCTGAGGAGATGACAGTCACTGAGATGAAACAGAGCGCATTACTTGTTGAATGTAAAACTGATGGTCTTGTCTGTAAACCTTTACTCAATTCACAATAAAAATTAATAAAAAGATTGTAGGCTAGGAAGTCCTGTTGGGTGGCAATTCTCTGTCCCACAGGGCTGCTATGAGTTACAATCAACTAAGTGGTTAGCAACAATTATTTGATGGTAAGTATAAAAGTATTGTTATAAAGTAGAAAGCTGTGTTAATCAAAAATATCAAAGCTATTTTCATCTCTCTATTCCCTTTCTCAAATAATTCTGAACTCTGGTTTGCACCACATCAAAATGGCAGTTTTGACATCCTGGAGGGACTCGACTCATGTTCCTTTCAAATGTTCCTTGAATTTTGGAAACAAAAAGAAATCTGAAGGGACAAGGTCAAGGTTGTAGGGTGGATGGGGTAAGATTTATCAATGAAATTGAATAGAATGCCTTTGCTACAATGAACAGGTGCATTGTGAAGGAAAAAATTCCTCAGTGCAAGTTTCCTGACCTTATTCTCACCAAATTTTCAGTTTTCTTAAACTTCTTCATAATAACCACCGTATGATTATCCTGTGTCTTTGACATTTTTAAAGTCCCCCCCTCCAAAAAAAAAATACTTCTGTAACTTCTGAGTTGACTTCTGCCTTGAATGTAACTGGTCTAGCAGATCCCATTTTATCAATTACATGAGACAAAATGTGTATAAATTGTTGAATGGAAAAACTGATCTGCTTTGTTAACCTTCACCCAACTCACAATGAAGAGTTAGAACTTATTTTTTCATTGCGGGGCAAAAAAAAAAAAAGCCACTGTTTTGATTGGATACTTTTTTTGAAGGCACCCTAACAAGACTAAGACAAGTATATTACTGAAATAACTTGTCTGCAGCCACCCACAGATTGCAGAGACGTGTTTAAAACAATTTTTGTTTGGAATAAACCTTTGCATGTATAAACTAGAATTGTGGTAGCAATACTTTTTGACTTTCGACTTACCCTCATATATATATGTTG